GAGGCGCAAAGAGGAGTGAGATGAGGCTGGAGAAGAACACCGATTCCACACATGTCCAAAGGGTTTTCGAAGAGGAAGGAATCGAAAAAACCCAAAGAGGTGAAGGCGATGGGATGTCAGAAATCTCACCCAAATCCGATCGGGAGAAGAGGATGTGGGAATCTCAGAAAAACCCCTATTTAGGATACTTTACAGATTTCGAAATCTGTAAAAAAAATCTGAAACAAACCCCAGATTAGGATTCATTTGGTATCCGCTAATTACAAAATTGTCACCGTCAGATTCAAATACCAATCCTTTTCTATAAAACTGGTGAAACAAACAGCCCCTTAGGGCCTGTTCGTTTATTTCCTAAAAATCAAGAAATAGAAATATAAATGGTGAAAATCTCAAAAAGTACCATTTCTTCTATTTCCATCCCTAAAACTCACCCACAACATCCAATAAAATATTATTTTCATCCAACAACTCATCCACATCATCTAATAAAATATTATTTTCATCTAACCACTCATCCATCACATCTAATAAAATATTATTTTCATCTAACAACTCATCCATCACATCTAATAAAATATTATTTTCATCCAAACATCACTCAACTCATCTCTTTTCATCATTTTAAATCACTCATATCATCGAATAAAATATTATAACAATTCACCTCATCTCATTAACATTTCATTTCTTTGTTTTCATCCCAAAAAGTTGTGAAAACACTTTTCTCAATCTTTCTTCACATCACCCAATAATACAATGACAACTCATCTACAAAAGAAAACAACAAAACTACAGGAAATAGGTTTCTTATAATTCATTTTCTTATTTTTTTCGCCAACCAAACAACATCAAAACTAGTTTTTTTAAAAAATCACTCACATCATCCAATAATAATGTGACAACTCATCTCATCTCATCCCTATTTCTTTGATTTACTTTTTTTTAGCCAACCAAACAATTCAAAAACCTATTTTTCTTAGAAATAGTTTTCTATTTCTTTGATTTCCCATTTTTTTAAGGCAAACGAACAGGCCCTTAGTGTAATGCATACGTATGTCAATTAATAATGATATTCAATAGTATATGGTTCTTAAGATGTACAAGGCCATAGTTTAGTGTGCACATCACTTCTTCTAGGCCATAAAGTTTATATATGCAAAAAAAAATTAGACAACCTATGCAGTAGTTAAAAGGATTTTGACTATAATGTACTATTTTTGTAAATTTTATCTGACGTTAACTCACCATGTAATTTTGACTATGGTCATCGTAATTTTAATACTTTTGATTGATTGACTATATAGGTATATAGATCATAGATTATTTTACTTTCTCACATGGAATAATATTTGGCGCTTAATAAATTTAATTACTAGGTTTAACTTGTATACACAGTGAACATGATGCGCGCATAAACAACACATTCGTACAAAAAATTGATAGCATTGTTATGTAGTGTAGACAATAGGAAATTACCAATATTATGGTTTGATCAACATTATCATGAAAAAAAATTTAAGTTATGGTAAACTACACTAACCCCCCATGATTTTTAGCACATTACAGTAAACCCCTATAAACTTTTAAAATCACACTAAACCCCAATAATTTTTACAATAAATCATAATATCTTTTTGGTAAATTACACTAAACATACAATAACTTTTAAAATGCCTCTTTACGTTACTTTCTAATTCTCATTTATGGGGGTTATTTGCAAAATGCAAAAAGGTATTTGGGTTTAGGGGCTGTTTGGTAGGCTGCAACTGGAGTGGTTGCAACTCCAGTTGCATGCAACTAGGTCCAATTTGACCAGTTACATGTGTTTGTTTTGCTGCAACTCACAGTTGCAGTTGCAACCACAGTTGCAAAACAACCCTTAGTTGCAACCACAGTTGCAAAACAACCCTTAGTTGCAACATATGACTTACGTAAAAAATGACCGCAAGTCATAGTTGCAACTTAGTTGCAACTGACCTAAATTTATTAAAATCAAAATCATTATTTAATATTTCAAAAATAAATTCATTAAATGTTTAAAATAATCTTTTAAATAATTCTTATTATAATAATTTCTTCACACACACAGATATATACACACACAAAACCCACACCTTAAAATTTTTACATAATATAATATACATATACATACACTAAAATATATTAACTAATCACAACAATAATACTGATTAGATATATAATATCACAACATTCAATATATATAAAAAAAAAAAAAAAAAAAAAAATATCCATATAATTACAAAAAACAAATAGTATAATAAAATTTATACATACACACATCAATATATAATAGACACAAAAACTAAATAATCATTAAATATATAAAACATACATAAATCTATTTAAAATAAAATATTTAAAAAATAAATAAACATATTTAAAAAAAAAACACATCACCTAATTTATAATTAAGAATAAAATAAAATCAATAATATATATACAATACACAAATAAATACATCATATATTATTGACACCAAATACAACACACAAATTTTCCACGAACAACAATATACAAAACTAATATACATAAATTACATAAAACATAATCTAATAAATATTAATTAAATATAATAGTTTATAGAATAATAAAATAATATAATAATATTATATATTTAACATAATAAATATAATAATATTAAATAAACCATAAACTAATCTAAATAATATTAATAATTAATATATAATATTTAATAAAAATAAATAATAAATATATACTATAAATATAATAATATTTTAAATTATATATATATACATAAATAAAATAAATAAGATTATAAAATAATATTATTTTCATATAATTTTTAATATATATTTAAATAATTTTTTTTTAATATATAATTATTTATTTTATATTATTATTTTTGTAATAATCTATTTTTTAAATAATATATATTTTAAATAATATAATTTTTTTGAATAATTTATTTAAAATAATATAATTTTCTAAAAAAATATATTTATATTTAAAATAATATATTTTTTGAACAATATATTTTTAAAATAATATGTTTTTTGAATAATGTATTTTCGAAACCTTTAAGCTGCAAGGACATCATTGGGTTTACAATAAATGTGTCTAAGTAAGGTATAACAAAAAAAAGGTCCAAAAGGTTGGCTTCTCTTAATAAATATTAATAGATATTTAATATAAAGAGAAACACTAATAATATTTATTTATTTACCTACATAATAATACAATCTCAGTTTCTATATTTTACTAGAGATTTTATTCTATAGTTGCACATATCAGGTTAGTAACTAAATCAATAATTTATATGCTTAAATTAGGATGGTTATAGTTGGTCACTTACTATTGAATTTCCGTGAAGATATATCCTACTTTCTCTAGCTATATATGCTGCCCATGTATATTTTGTAAATTAATCGTTAGTTTGACATATTAAAGTAATTTTCCTTTATAGAAATTTATTCTATGGCTTTTGGATTTGCATAACCCCTGTACAACTGATTCTAGCGTAGAAAATACTTCAGTCAAAATGGCTTCATGCTAATGTTTGAGTTGAACTAAGATATATAGTATTGCTGCTATATGTATATATATTTTAAGAAAATCATATCAACACTTCTTAAACAGAAGGGGACATTCTAACCTTGATATTAGAAAAATCAAATATAGCCAATTGAGTGATTATCAAAAGAGAGCTTACATTCAGACAAACGTGGACAAAAAGTGAAAGAGGAAAAATAATGACTCTGCCAACAGTACTGCCAATAGTAGACGACAATGTAAAGTTGACCTATTTCGTGGAGCCCAATTATTAGCCTATATCATCGAAGTTTGCATATATATGCTTTATAATTTATTAAAAATGATCATATAATTTTATATAATAAAATTGATTTACTACTAAATAGTAACAACATTGTTAGAGACTAGTATGTTTATTTTACTATATAAGCTACATACTCTAAATTCCTGTGTCTTTTGTAGAGCCAAAAAGCCTAAATATGAGCCTTTTACATTTTTGTCGTCACAATGGTGAAATCCACCTAGCAGATGTGGATATTTCAGACAAGTTATATGCTCTTTATACAATACAATTACCATAAGCCCTTGAGTTTCGAACCTACACTAGAATGTTTAATAGCATTTTCTCATTCATATTGTTTGGGGAAAGATTTAATAGGAGTCTTGCAGCAAAGAGAAAAGGAGAAATTACATTTAGAGAACATGGAGGAATATACCATGATCCCATGCTCTAGTTCCGCAAGGAAATAATGCTTCATACTTTCAGTTTTACTTCTATGATACACAGGATGACCCGCAGAATCGAATGAAAAAATTAGATAATGCAAATATGAGTAAAACCACAACTAGAAGCTTGATGAATATATTGTAAGAAAATTCACATGCAAAATTCCTTCACAAATTAATTGATTACCCATCTTTTGAAGACTTCAAGATGCTAGTAAACAGAGATGTTGCCCAAAATCAATGTGTTTACAACTCACAAATAGTAGATCACGTGGTCACAATCTGAGTTGAAAGAAACAATGACAATATCCTATTTGCGAGAGAGATTATCGAGCTGATGAACAGTCGCATGTAAAACTTTGTTTTTTATTTTTTATTTTGTTTTTATCGATTTAAACAATCATAATATTCAACTACGTGCATCCCACATGCATTCTAGACTAGAGTGAGTAAAAAGAGACGGGCGGGGGGGGGCGATCCTAACTGTTGAATCAAACTCTATTCTCCCTTTACCTTGAAATCAAGCAAAATGAATTTTATTTAGCGATAAATTTAGAAAAAGTTTATGGTCTAATAGTCATTCATTTTATTTTTTCTGTCTTAATTCCTTTCAATGATTCACTACTTTTAATTTTTAAACTCTACAAAATGTAATTTTTTTGCTGTAGATTGAAGAGTTGATTTTTACCCAAATAATAAGGCATGATTAATTCTTTCAAGGATAAAAAAGTGTCATTTCACGACCATCCAGCACAGCCTAATTTGAGGGTGGGAAAAAGCCCTAAAAAACCGAATGCTCCTTTCCCGCCTTATTCACCTCCTCCAGGTCTCCGTCAACCTCAAATCCCTCCCCTTAACCCAACAAGCCCACGCCCTCTCTCTAACCCTTGGCCTCTTCAATGAAGACCCCATCATCGCTTCAAAGCTCATCTCCTCCTACTCTCACCTCAGCCTCCCCTCGCTTTCCCGCCAAATTTTCGAGTCCTTCGCCCTCAATTCACCCCCAAATGTCCTCCTATGGAACTCTCTCCTCTCTTCCTACTGCAACAACCGTATTTTCTCCAAACCCATCTCCCTCTTCGCTCGGATGCGGGCCCGGTTGCGGCCCGATAACTACACTCTCGCCATCGTCTCCAAGGCCTCAGCTGAGCTCGAGGACTTTCGTGCAGGGAGATTGGTCCATTGTCTCGTTGTGAAGCTGGGGTTTTATCAAGATACTGTTCTATCCAATTCAATTATGAGGTTTTACTCTAGATGTGAGAATTTTGGGGATGCCCGGAAGCTGTTTGATGAAATGCCAATGAGAAGTGTTGCTTCTTGGAACTCGATTATTTCACAGTATGCAGATTTGGAGAGTGGAGAAGAGGAGGTTTGGAGTCTTTTTGAAGAAATGCAGGCTGAAGGAATTAAGCCGGATGCTTTCACGATTAGTACTGTTCTTCCTTGGTGTTGGAGTAGTATTCGTGGGAGGGAGATTCATTGTTATCTTATAAGGATGAATTTGGGTTTGAATTCGGATTTTCATATGGGTAGTTGTTTGATTAATATGTACTCTAAAGGAAACAGGGTTGATGTTGGAAGGCGGGTCTTTGATAGGATGATCGTCAAGAATGTGGTTGTCTGGACGACGATGATTAATGGGTATGTGGAGAATGCGGAGTTTGAGGAAGGTTTGGATCTTTTCCGTATGATGCAGTTTGAAGATGGTATTTTGCCGAATAAGGTCTCTTTGGTAACTGTTCTTCCAGCTATTGGATCTCTTGCAAGGTTTATTGATGGGAAACAAGTTCATGCTTTTGCCATTAGGAAGGAATTGAATCGTGAACCTTCATTGAACAATGCTTTGATTGATATGTATTCAAAATGTGGGACTTTGGACAGTGCGAAATGTATTTTTGATGACCAATCTTGGTGTAAAGATGCCATCTCTTGGAGCACGATTATTTCCTGTTATGGAATTCATGGAAAGGGAGAAGAAGCTGTAATTTTGTTTAATAGAATGTGCAACCTTGGGACAAAGCCGGATCATATTACCAGTGTGGGAGTCCTTTCAGCTTGCGGGAGGAGTGGTTTGGTATCTGAGGGCTTGGAGATCTATAATTCATTGGTAAAGGATTATGGGGTTGTCCCAACTGTTGAAATTTGTTCTTGTATGGTTGATATGTTAGGTCGAGCTGGTCGGTTATCCAAGGCTTTGGATTTCATTAAGTCAATGCCACATATATCTGGTTCTAGTGTTTGGGGAGCACTTTTTGATTCTTCTTTCATGCACAACAACAGAGAAATGCATGACTTGGCTTTTAGGACTCTTCTCCACTTGGAGCCTGAGAGCCCTTCAAATTTTATCACGCGTTCAAATTTTCATGCCTCATCTGAGAGATGGGATGTTGTAGCAGAAGTGAGGAAAACAATGAAGGAGAGGGGTTTGAAAAAAATGCCTGGTTGGAGTTCAATTACTATTAATAGGACAGTCCATTCTTTCTTTGCTGCGGACACATCTCACCATTATCCAGATACAATTTATGCAATGTTAGACAACCTCTTACTGACAATGAAGGGGGCTGGTTACGTCCCAACATATGAAAAAGTTACAGAGCCTTTCACACTTGGGTCATATCAGTGACTTTGCAACTGTCAAAGTTAATATGCTGAAGAAGCTGAAAGAGCGAGAGGAATCAACCATCTACGAGCAAATATCTCTGGTGCTCTTGTTTATACTTCTAACAATCTGATACTTAATGAGGTAAAATTGTAAAGGGCACATAATTCTGCTTATGCATACATTTATCTGATTATGCTGTAGAAACTTTGTTGGTGCAAAGTTGTACGTAAAATATTCAAAAGATAACATGCTTTGCAGATATCAACGTGAAAGATTAACTACTTTATTGCTGTGCTTCGATGCTCTGGAAACAATACTAACAATGCATCTCGACTTTCCAAATAAGAAGAAATGCGCCAATGTCTTCTAGGATAGGATGGGTTTCGAGTTTCTTCCTCCTTTTCTTATATATTTTCCTGAGTCACGTTTCAAATAGAGGTTAGATTTCTTTACTTTATAGTAATTTCATTGTTTGACTAAGGATTTAATTGACAAGACTTCTTCCTGTTTATTGAAGATACCATTTGACATTAGAATTTAATGAAGTCACTCAGCTAACATTATGGAGTAATTCACTATTTTTTATACTATTTTGGGCTCTGAAAATGTGAGTTTGAAAATTGCGGATAGCCATGGAGACTTCAGAAGCTGCAAACATCATTTATTTTCATAAGACCCATATAATCAAGGATGAATTTGAAGCTAAGAAGTCAGCTGCTTGAGTTTGTTCTATTAATCGGAAGTGTAAGTTTCTTTTTATTTTCATTTGGATCCTCAAGTTCTCAAATTCTTTTGTTGTCAGGGGATGATACTTATACAGGACAAATTTTTAAAACCACCCTATTTGAACATTTAATCCCAAAAAACGACCTGTTTTGAACTTATTTGCAAAAATCGCGCTGAAACCAGGTCGGTTTTTGTGAAAAAGCTTCCGAAACTTCACGGGACTTCAACTCCCATGAAGTTTAGTAAAGCTGCTAAACTTCACGGGAGTTGAACTCCCGTGAAGTTTCGGATTTTTTTTTTTCAAAAACCAAACTGGTTTCAGCGCCAAGGCTGAAACCAGGTCGATTTTTGAAAATAAGTTCAAAGCAGGTCTTTTTTTGGGATTAAATGTGGAAATAGGTTGGTTTTGAAAATTCGTCCTACTTATACAATGTAATATATATAACAGAATGCGATATATTTTGGAATCTTTCTATTTGTGAATGTTATTTTCATTCGCTGTAGAAGTAGATAAACTATATGTTTCATATTTTTTTACTGTTGCAAGTGTTTGACTTCAAATTGTTGGAAATCAATGGAAATGTGTAAACAAGTTGTTCCAAGTCATGGTTCTCTATAGACCAGTGTTTGACTTACATGTATCTCATACAAATAAGAGGTAACCTTTTTTCTTCCTTGCCTGTATTTGACCCAGATTTATTGTTTTACCATGCAGTTAGAAATTCCTTTGTATCCAAATCCTTATGCTACTATATTATCAGACCTGTATTAGTGAAGGTTTTGTTTTTTGTTCAGGGATCTGTTTTTATCTGCTTCCCTCTTGAATCCTTTCATGCAGAAGGCAGACCTTAGGTCCTACTCATTATGCTAGAGCTTAGATGAATACCCTTCGTGGATCTAGCCTCTATTAATAGTAGTTCCAATTTATATATACTATCACACTAAAAATAGAAATGTTTTTCCATTCCTAGGCTGGGTTTTTCTTGAACAACTTGCTCAAGTTTACAACCAAGTGGATGGGAATATTTGAGAGCGAATAAATGGATGTAGTTAGGATTATTTTTAAGACAAACGTTCTTTTCAGAGTTGGTCAAGGATAAATTTAAATTCTGAAGTATCTTGCATTTATGTAGACAGAAACTTCTCTTCTTTAATTATAGATTGGTGGGTTCATGTTGATCTTATATTTGTGGCAACTGGCAAGCATCTAAGTACAATACCAGACTAAATAGCCATGAGGCACTGCTTCCATGAAGATCCCTAGTAGCAGCCTTGAAGGCATGGTGCATTTATGCTGCCGTGGTTTAATTGGCAGCTTAACAGTGTGCTTCAAATGCTAGACCATTAGGTTATTATTTTCTGATGTTGACACCTTGGGACCATGAGGAGGTGGAGCAAATTGCTTTTGCTCTTCGGAATAACCAAAAGTAGTTTTTCACTCCTCAAAGGCATTGTTTATAACTTGTGCGAACCCCCTGAACTCGTTTGGTTTCATTTTCTGTTACTGATACGTAAATTTGATAAACCTGTGTTTGATAATATATGACTATTCATTTCTTATCTGTATGTTTTACTGAATTATTAGTTTAAATTAATATCTGCATAATTATAACCAGCATACAATAGAACGTCTAATTGTACATACTATTATACTGTAGATATCTGATGTTCGAGGGACGTTAAATTACGGAAAATTTTCAGATGATTCAGCATCTCAAGTTATGGTGAAACCAGCTGTCCCCTGAAAATTTATCAATTTAAGATCCTCGCTTCTTGATTACATGGGCCATCTTAAAACATACTTCAGACTTGTGATCCAACTCAAATAGTCACATGACAGGCAGATAAGTTACCAGGTAGTCACTCTTCGACAATATTCTTCTTTACTAGGTGATATTGAGTATTATGTTGTTTCGTCATTTTCTACTTCAAATTTAACCCTTAATATGTCCTATTAAACGTACCTGTTTATATATAAAATAACAATTGTATCATGCAGTTACGTTTTTCGTTAGGATCCCAACAGTGGCGATGTTGCAAGCTTCATAGGCATTGTAATATTTTGTGTTAAATCTAATATTTGAGATCTAAATCTTAAAGCCATGATTAATTCAAAGAGATTAACAAGAATCAAAAAGGTGCGGAAGCATATACTTGAATCCATTGAGAAAAACCTTATTAGGGTTTTAATGATCTTCTAACCTTAGAGTTTCTCCCTTATAGATCTCTTTAGATGGGGATAAGAGAATGAGAGTGGCTAACCCTAGATTAGGGACCATAACCCCATATATATAGGTGTTGTACATTTGTAATTTGGTCCCTCATCAAATTACAATACAACCTGGTATCTGCACATATAACCCCATGATTTATTTAAATACCTATTAACCCAAATTAATTGATCACTTTAATGGGTTATCCTGAAGAATAGCAATACACAGATTAATCATATGTGCCCACAAATAGATTTAATTAGATTTAAATCCAATAATCTCCCACTTGGGCACCATATGATTCCTTAAATTGTGTATAACCTTATGAGCTCAAAATTGCTATCACTGAAAAGGTATTTCTGAACAATCTCGTCCATTGACTATATCAATATAGGATCAAAGCGGCCTTCGTCACATTTATCGTGACTCGACCCATCAATGGTCACATATACCAATACAATCAAACGACATAGATCAATCATGGATGTGCAGCATAAAAATTATAAGCAATGTGATCAGTACATGTCTATTTTTAACTGATCCTATTTTAGTGAGGTCAAAACCAAACATAATGTAACAGAGTGTCTTAACTGAATACTTTATTCTGATCAGACAATACAACCAAATACAAAGCACCAAAAATTATAAACTCCCACTAAATCATGATATCCTCTAATATCACCACACCCATATGAGCGGTGTGCTCATGAAAGATCTTGGGTGGCAATCCCTTAGTAAGAGGATTTGCTATCATGGAGTTTGTCCCAATGTGCTCTATGGATATCTGTCCATTCTGTACCCTTTCTTTCACAATCAGGAACTTAATGTCAATATGTTTTGACTTAGTTGAGCTCCTGTTATTGGAATACATTACTGCAGATTTATTATCACAATATAACATTAGTGGTCTTTTCACATTTTCAAAAATACGCAGTCCAGTGATAAAATTTCGCAACCATATTTCCTGATTGGATGCCTCATAGCAAACTATAAATTCTGCTGTCATAGTGAAGGAAGCTACAAGTGTTTATTTGATACTTTTTCATGATATAGGTCTACCTGCTAACATATAAATGTAGCCTGATGTAAACTTCCTGTTATCTTGGCATCCAGCAAAATCAGAATCAGAGTACCTAATGACCTCCAACTATTCTGATTTTCTGTATGTGAGCATATAATCTTTTATTTTCTGAAGATACCTCATAACTCTTTTGACTGTTATCCATACCAGGGTTGTTTAAGTATCTGCTTAATATCCCAACAATGTACGCAATATCCGAACGCGTACATATCTGAACATACATTAGACTTCCTACAGCCGAAGCATAAGGAATCTTCTGCATTTCCTGAATTTCAAGGTTGCTTTTAGGGCACTGATTGAGACTAAACTTGTTTCCTTTAGCCACATGGGTGTCTTCTGGTCTGCAATCTTGCATGCCAAACCTTTTAAGTACTTTATCGATATAGCTCTTTTATGATAATCTAAGTATACCTCGAGAGCGATCTCGATGTATCTGGATTCCTAATATAAAAGAGGCATCCCCAAGATCTTTCATCTCAAAATTTTTTGATAGAAATCTCTTGGTTTCGTGCAACATGCCTATATCATTAGTGGCAAGTAATATATCATCGACATACAGAATCAGAAAAATATACTTACCCCCACTGAACTTATATACATAGTCATTAACAATGTTCATCTCAAAACCGAACAAGATAATTATTTGTTGAAACTTATAATACCATTGACGAGGAGCTTGCTTGAGTCCATAGATGGATTTTCTTAATTTGCAAACCATATTCTTCGGGTCTCCTGACACAGTTTTCTGATTGCACCATATAAATCACCTCATCAATGTCACCATTGAGAAATACAGTCTTAACATCTATCTGATGTAACTCAAGATCATAATGAGTAACGAATGTCATGATTGTTCTGAAAGAATCTTTCGATGAAACCGGAGAGAGAGTCTCTGTATAATCAATGTCTTTTTTTTGAGTAAAGCCTTTAGCTACAAGACGTGCCTTATACCTCTTCACATTACCGTTTGCATCCCGCTTGGTTTTAAAAATCTATTTACAACCAATTGATTTTGCACATTCTGACAATGGGACAAGTTCCCAAACCTTATTATCTTGCATAGACTTGTACTCTTCATTCATGGCATCAATCCACTGTTGAGAGTTAGAATTTTTCATGGCCTGAGAGAAGTTGATTGGATCATCTTCCAACATTCCATTACTTTCCTCATGTTCTTAGAGAAATACAATATAATCATCCGAAATAGCATTTCTCCTTTCTCTCGTGGATCTCCTTAATGGCACTGGTTCTTGAGGTTGTTGAGTTTGTTCTTTTGGAACAGGGAGTTGTTCAATATTGTCATCTTGAGGTTCCGGATTTACTTATTGAGTAACAATATGTATAGGAACTTGAATATTATCAAAAGTAACTGTATGAATTGGATCTGAAACCAATTCCTCCTCAAAAGTAATGTCTCTAACCTTATTTCTTCCCCCAAACTCAACATCCTCAAAGAATGTTGTTGTTTCCGTCTCAAAAATATTTCTGAATGTGGGATCATAAAACTTATAGCCCCTAGAGCGTTCGGAATACCTAATAAAGTAGCTGCTAACTGTTTTGGAGTCCAATTTTTTTTTATTTGGCCTATAAGGCCTTGTCTCAGCTGGACATCCCCAAATATGTAAGTGCTTTAAACTGGGCTTTCAACCAGTCCAAAGCTCATAAGGTATTTTAGCAACTGCTTTACTTGGTACTCTATTCAGAATGTAAGCTGCTGTCTTTAGTGCTTCTCCCCAGAGTGGCTCTGGTAAAAAAAAATGAGCAATCATACTTCTTATCATATCCATAAGAGTCATGTTTCGTCTTTTAGCTACACCATTCAAGCTAGGTGAACCCGGCATGGTGTATTGTGGGACGATATCGTATTCCTCTAGGTATCTAGCAAATGGTCTTGGATGTTGTTCACCTAAACCATCATATCTGCCGTAGTACTCACCACCACAATCAGATCTAACGGTTTTAATTCTTCTGTTGAGTTGATTCTCAACTTCATCTTTATAGGCTTTGAACATGTCCAGAGACTCAGATTTCTCATGAATGAGATATAGGTACCCATAACGTGGCTTTGAACATGTCCAGAGACTCAGATTTCTCATGAATGAGATATAGGTACCCATAACGTGAGTAATCTTCTATGAATGATATAAAATATTATTGACCATTCCAGGATGCCGTAGGGAATGACCCATAAATATCCGTATGTATTAATTCTAAGACATCCAAAGATCTGTTGGCACCTAATCTCTTAACTTTGATCTGTTTTCCTTTGATACATTCAACACATACGTCGAAGTCCGAAAAATCAAGGGAATCCAAAATACCATCAGACACAAGACGCTCAACTCTACCTTTTGAGATATGACCCAATCGCTTATGTCATAATATCGTCGAATTTTTCTTATTTAATTTACACTTAGTACCACGCGATTTCACATGCAAGGATTCATTATAAGATGCAATTATATCAAGCAAATATATGTTGTCATAAGTACGCAAGTAACCAGTTCCCACAATATTTGAATTAAAAGATAAACTGAATTGACTATTTTCGAATGAACAATGATAACCTGATTTGTCCAATACTGAAACAGAAACCAAATTCCGTCTAAAAGACGGTACTACAAAAGTATCTTTCAAATCCAAATAAGAATCAGTTCCTAATAGCAACCTAAAGTGTCCAATTGCTTCCACATCTACCGATTGACCGTCGCCCACAAAGATGTATCTTTTAACATCACTTGGCTTTCGGTAGCTCAGGCAACCTTGCATAAAAACACTTATGTGAGTAGTAGCACCAGAGTCTAACCACCAAGTGTTTCTAGGTACTGAAGCTAAATTAACTTCAGAACAGACCAAAGTAAGGAACGTACCATTATTAGCACGCCAGACGTGATATTTGGTACAATCATTCTTTACGTGTCCAGGCTTGTTACAGAAAAAACAACCCTGATTATCCTTATGTTGTTTCTTCTGAACTGGACCTTTAGCAGCTTCATTATCATTCTTCTTTTTCTTGCTCTTATCCTTAGAGACATAGACCAAATGAGCATTTTCAGTCTTATCTTGTTTCAACATGTCTTCTTCTTGCACACAGTATGAAATGAGCTCATTTAGAGTCCATTTCTTCTTTTAGCAGTTATAACTGACCTTAAATTGATTGAATTGTGCAGGAAAAGATAACAGAACCAGATGCACCAATAATTCATCACAAAGATCGAGTTTAAGTGCCTTAAGTTTTGAAGCAATATAAGACATTTCCATAATGTACTTCCTGATATTTCCTTTGCCCTTATACTTCATTGAAATCAAACGAGCTAAAAGCGTGCTTGTTTCTACCTTATCGTTTTTTGCAAAATATTTCTTAATTTCGGTAAGAAAATCTTTAGCCTTAGTAATCCCTTCGGATTCTATGTCCCTGAAGGCTTTCGGAACGCCGCGCTTAATGATCATAAGACTCATGCGATTTGAACGCTCTCACTTCTCATACTCCTTTGTATCAGGAGTGCTATCCGCATTGAGAGGTTAAGATTGTTCAGTTCTTAATGCAAGGTCTAGATCTATGCAGCCAAGAATAATTAATATGTTCTCTTTCCAAACCTTGAAATTTGTCCCATTGAGCATGGGAGTTGAGTTGATGTTAGCAGAAATTATTGCAGCAGATGCATTAGCTAAAATAAACAAATGATACTCACATCATTAACCGTAATTAGTAATCAATAAAATTCAAATAATGACAAATTCCATCTCAAGATATCTAGCACAACATTAATATTAAGTATTTGGACAGTAATATTAACTTGTAAGTGATATCTTATTGTAATGATCAAACATTGACAATAACTCATGTCAAATAATGAAACTATCTTTGGATCGATTCATTATTCACATGTAAACCTTATAATTGTTACACGTTTATCATCGCAGTTGTGTATGCAGTCAAAATAAATATTAATCTTCCTTTGGGCCGATTAAATATTTACACGAAAACATACACACAAACATCTGACATCCCTCATGATCAATTTACACAAGAGAGGTTACTTTGGTAACATCTTGTTTCAATTAATCATTTGGAATGAGAGACAACTTAATATCTTAGCGTCATATTATTTGAATAATTGATTAACTACCAAAATTAATTCAAATTAAACAACTTAATTTGAATTAGAAGAATTTTTCATAGCTTAATTAGGGCCCATAACTTAATTGAATAAATTAAGTATACCAAAGTGGACCCATAATTTAATATGAAAAAAGCCGAGGCTTAACCATAGTGAACACGAAGTTCTCTTGACTTCGAACACGAGGTTCGTTTGTATTGAGTACAAGACTCACCTAAGAACGAACGCGAGGTTCGTTTGAAAAAATGAACGTGATGTTCAACTTGAGAACGAACGCAAGATTCGTTTTGAAAATGAACGCGATGTTCAATTTGAGAACGAACGCGAGATTCGTTTTGAAAATGAACGTGATGTTCAACTTGAGAACGAACGTGAGGTTCGTTTGGATCGAGCACATGGCTCGCCTGAGGATGAACGCGGAGTTCGACTTGAGGATGAACGCGAGGTTCGACTTGAGAACGAACGCAATGTTCGTCTGAAAATGAACGCGAAGTTCAACTTGAGAATGAATGCATGGTTCAACTTGAGAATGGACGCAATGTTCAACTTGAGAATGAACGCGATGTTCAACTTGAATCGAGCGCGAGGCTCGCCTGAGAACGAACACGAGGTTCGTTTGAATCGAGCGTGAGGCTCGCCTGAGAACGAACCCGAGGTTCGTTTGAAGCTTTCAAGCCTCGCTAAAAATTAAGGTAAACACCTCCTTAATTTCCGCACGTTTTCACGTGCACGAACCCCTTGAGAGTTTAATCTGAAACCGTCGCCGTCATTGCTCCCGCACCCAAAGGTCGAAACCCTAAGGTTTTCTAATGCCGCCGTTGCCGTCGGAGTCGAGAGCGAGGCCGCCAGCGACACTTCGCCGGCGAGGAGCACGGGGACCGACGACCAAACAAAAAATAGATCCAAAAAAAATTCCTCGATTTTATTTCAAAATCAGATCCAGAATAAAAAGATGACCTTTTGATCCAAGATTGAAAGAAAAACCAAACAAAAAAAGGAAATCTTTACTGTTCACCCAAAAAAATAAAAAACCGTTACTGTTCATCCTAATAAATCTGAATAAAACACAAATTAAGATCAAAGAACCCTAATTTTAATCTTAATCTCTTAGAACAAATCAACGGTGGCTCTGATACCACTTGTTAAATCTAATATTTGAGATCTAAATCTTAAAGCCATGATTAATTCAAAGAGATTAACAAAAATCAAAAAGGTGTGGAAGCATATACCTGAATCCATTGAGAAAAACCTTATTAGGGTTTTGATGATCTTCTAACCTTAGGGTTTCTCCCTTATGGATCTCTTTAGATGGGGATAAGAGAATGAGAGTGGCTAACCCTAGATTAGGGACCATAACCCCATATATATATGTGTTGTACATTTATAATTTAGCCCCTCATCAAATTACAATTACAACCTGGTATCTGCACATATAACCCCATGATTTATTTAAATACCCATTAACCTAAATTAATTGATCACTTTAGTGGGTTATCTTGAAGAATAGCAATACACAAAGTTTAATCATATGTGCCCACAAATAGATTTAATTAGATTTAAATCCAACATTTTGATCTTAGCTTGAGTAGTTTCTGTCCTGGATTTATGAACTACAGCCTTCTCCAAAGCTTCATTGTTTCTTTTAAGGTCTTCTTAGCCTTCGGCCCTATTAAAACTGTACTAGATGCTGGTTCTCCTCCAACTCTGGGTTAGTTCCCATCTATCAGTAGTTCATCAACTCAGCTTCCCATTCATGGTAGATGCCATGGAGAGCAAGAGAAGATGTTCATTTGCAGTGGACCATTTCTCTCTTCTGGATGTGGAGCCAATGAGTTAGGCTTGAGGGTATTGTCATTCGCTCTCCCACGATCACACTCGTGCATCTGTTCTTAGCCTATTCAACTTTTATGCCCATGTTTGGTGGGCCTTCACGCTGCTGTCAATCCTTCTGTGATTGGAGCTAATTAAAGTGTGGTCGAACTTATAGATTTCCTCTGGGTTTAGTCCATCCAGCTGTACATTGTTCCCCTCTGCGAATTTCAAACCCTCATCAGACTAAAATGCTCATCCTTCTAACCGCATTTTCTTAGTTTGATGTTTATTATTCAGCTTCAGATACTGTACTAGTGCTGTCCTTATTTGATCTTATTTCTCCTGCTTTAGTACGAGCCCTTGGCAATATTCCGTTCTATAAGATGGTGACTTTAGATTCTTTTTCCGGGTGGTCATAAATTGGCAGGGAAATAATTCCATTGGGCTAAATTTTGTGTGGTGAAATCTGATTATCTACATTTTCCCAAGAATTCAAATAGGAGATTGTTTGCAGCATGTAGAATGATATATCATCTGTTAGATATTGACATATGAAGATGTTGCCGGTAAGTAACATTCTATTTATGCATATCTTAAGTTGTTTCAGTTTGGCTCCTGAAGGAAGTTCTTGATATGTCTTGCAGTGATCATTGAAACCTTAATCTCTGAATATGCGAGTACCTACCTAGCTTCCAAAATTGCATCAATGCCGATGGCTATGAATTATGAAATTTTCAAGAATCTACATTGATATGAAACATGTACTAAGATTCTTCACCAAATCTTTGATTATATGTGCATAGCTGGATTCCAGTGGTACATTTGTGGTACATGATTGCTGTGTCCTTGCCCGTACGAAGTAAAGCAGTATGGCACATACAATGGGAAGCAGAACACTGTTTTGAGTAGGCCCTGTAGTGGATGGGATAGTTTAGTTATGGGCTTCTTCAACTGTTAGTTCTTGGAGGGAAGGGGTCTCAGAATCTTTGTATACCCCACAGGATAGTAGGAAATACTTTAAATAATAATAAAGTGGGAAGGGATTATGCTGTGTAGTTGCAGGATTCCACTAAGGGCTAAGTTCAAAGTCAGCTGTGTAATTGTTTTTAATGACATGCTCCAAATATGGATATAGAAGGCGGATTCAGTTGTTGGTGAAAGGTGAATCTCATGAATTTTGGATGGGCCTGATGGCGTGTGGTTGGGTTATTCTGGTTCTAGTGGGGTCTATTCCTATATGGTTACAGTTTCATTCACAAGCTTTAAGGGCCCTGGGCTTTCATTTCCTTTTCAGAAATAAATAGTGCAGGTTCCTGTAGCTTTTAGCTCATTCAATTTTTTGATTCTCTCCAGCTATACCTTGTAGATCTCGCTCCTCTGTCAAAGTAAAAATTATTATGAAAGTAATAAACACAGGATTCATTCCAATTTGTCTTGGTCACATAATTATATGTCCTAGATGGATACTGTTCTCATGAACTGTCCTTTTCAGTTGTTCACAATATTCTTTATCATGAACTTCTAAATCCATGTGTTTCCTCTTTATCGTAATCGATGATGTATATAGATAATATTTTTCTGGCTAGTGCAAATTGCCTTTCTTGGTGTTCATTGAGAGCTCTCTATTTCTTATAATTTCACATTTCTTCAGCCAAAAACAGTTGATGTTGGATCGTCAACTAGTCCATTCAAGTGACACAGATTCCATGTATAATAAGGTCGGCGATCTTAAACTGGGCGACCAAAGATAATATCTTAAAGTACAGAAGGAACAAGAAAATCATAATATAAGATCAAAGATCACAGCTTAGCAAAGAATTGTTAGTTCTTTCCATTTAGTTAAAAGAAAATTTTTAAAAAACGCTCATCATTGTCAGGCTAATTCTGTACGTAAGGTGATTCAGTTGGCAAAACTTGGGTTGCGCTGAGAGAATGTCTGTACATTTTGCTCCGAACATGCTTAGAAATGCGATATGCATCTTCTACGAAGGATAACCAACTTCTTTGCCTGCTCTGTTTCCTGTTTCCACGCCTGACCGAGATCCTTTGCTATTCTTATTGCGTCGGCAGAAGCACCTGCAAGTCCTCTCCTTGTGAACCCAACAGTATAAAGCCCGGACTTCCCTTTCCATGAATTTGGGAACTGCTTTTTTGGGAACCCGTCTTTGTTGAAGAAATCACTTCCCTGTAACCAAAAACGAAAGAACAGATCAGTATAAATGTAGTCAGATTCCCCATTTGGCACTAAAAATCATCAGGGTTCTCAGTAGCCAAGACGAATCTAAAAACATGGCCATGAAAACAGAATATAAAATTGTGAAATTACCTGTAACCAAGAAGGAACATTGCTGCGGTAACCAGTAGCCAAAATAACTGAGTCGACGTTACGGATGTGCCCATCAACTAGCTCAACTCTTCCAGGGAGAAACTTTTTGATTCCAGGAACGACCTCAATTTCAGCAGATTTTATCTTGGCTAGAGCTCCAATATCCAACACAGGAGTCTTTCCCTGTGTGTTCTTGAGCTCCAGAGGACCGGCTGAAGGCCTTTTTAGTCCATACTTCTCCATGTTCCCAAGCACGAACCAGGCCAAAACAAGCAGTATCTTATCAACCAACCACAACGGTATCCATTTCATCAGTGAAACTGCCAACTCAAATACCGATTTTCCTAGAACCTCCCTTGGCAACACATGAACCTGTTCAAGTAAACAAAGAAAATTGTTTAAGAAAAATAAGAGCTGAGCATAATAGATTTTGATATGGATTTACATGGAATCTTGATTTGCATAATATGATTACTTACCGAGTTACGAACCACCATGGAAGGCGATGCATTGTGGTCGCAGAGGTCTAGGCACACCTCCATGCCAGAGTTACCACAACCGACGACCAACACTTTCTTCCCTCTGTAAGCCTCACCGGATTTATAGTCACATACATGTGTTATCTCGCTTCCAAACTCCTTTAGTCCTTCAATCTCTGGAATCACTCTTTCTGCATTCTCACCAGTAGCCACTACTAGCCAACGCCCGATATATTCAAACTCACTTTTACTGGTCTCAACTATGGTCTTCACCCTCCACAGCCCACTGGTTTCATCGAACTTAGCAGATAGGACGGTCTGGTTGAACCTTGGCTCGATATCAAAGTGCTTTGCATAGGATTCCAAATAGTCTATGAATTGTTTCTTGCAAGGGTACTCAGGGTAGGTATCGGGGAAGGGGAGACCAGGAAGTTGGCAGAACTGTTTGGGGAGGTGGAGCTTTAGGCGGTCATAAGTTCGCTTTTGCCAGAGGGAAGCAATGCAGTCTGATCGCTCAAGGATAACATAAGGAACTTCATTCTTCTTTAAAGAGGCAGCAACGGCGAGGCCAGCTGGGCCTGCACCGACGATGATTGGCCCGTTCACCCACATGCACTTCTGAGATAGAAAATCATGGTTATCAGGCATTTCCACAGAAGTGGTAGTGTTTTTTGGAATTGAGAGTTGAAAAGAACTGAGAAAGGAAGAACAGTTGGAGGAAAGGGGTCTGAGTTGAGAGTAGAGTGAATAAGGTAGGAGGGAGGAAAGCTGTTTAAATAGAGGGGATGGGAATTAAAGTTGGTACTTCTCAAATAATGAGATTTGACGTCTCTTTTTTTTAATGCTTCAGTGATTTGGATGCATTAAATATTGTTAAACAAATGTTTTTAGGCATACTTTATGAGAGATTTTGAAAACCCAGAGGATCTAATTTTTATACCCTCATCACTTTTTTCTCACTCTGAATCTTGTGTGTGATCGAAGATAGAGGTGATTTAGTTGTTGGTTTAGCTTCTATTGTGCCCCCTAAATTCTTTGGACACACCCACTTGAATGCATTAATATGTATTTCTTAGGCCACCGTCTTCATTACCTCATGTTTGTTTTATAGGTAAGTTGAGTAGTTAATGATATAAAGTTCCTTTTTCCTTTGCCTCCCCCTCCCGCCTGCTTCTGTATCTGGTGGGCGTGTACTTTTATGGTATAGAATATATGGCCCTAAACCAAAGTACATGATATTTTCTGATATTGAGAGATTAGCCTGTTTTTAATGTAATCTTTCGAGCAAACGCGCTTTCTAGTTGTTCTAGCAACTTTTTTCTGTGATTTTCCATAAATCTTCCCTTCATCCACTTTATTTCCTTGAGTTTATACTCTTTCCGACTTTCCTCTTCATGCTACTCCTTAGTTGTTTGTTCCCCCCTTTTATTTGTTTTTTTTTCCTTTCTTTTTTTAGATGGGTTGGGGGTGTTTATGAAATTAATTAAGCTGTGTAACTATGGCAAACTTCATTACCGTCATTTGACAGAAAATTTTATCATTGACTGCTACTTGTTTGAAATTTAATTGTCCATTAAATTCTGGTCATATCTTTCATAATTGAATATCATACTGTACAGTACACTGTTCAATGGTAAATGCGTAGGAGGTAATGATATATATGATTATATTAGGAAGTCAATATTATCACCTTTCTAAAGTCAATTATAACCTTGAGATTCATTAATTATCCGACTATGAAGCTTTAGGTTGGTAATTTTTAGTTAATTTGCTTTGAACCAAAACCCTAATCATATTCAAATCAACTATTTCCTCTGTTAATATGAAGACAGAAAGCTGTTACGTATGAAGACATCTGATTAAGAGAAAAAATTGAGGTTTATTATAGATAGACAATACAAAGGAAAAAATCAAACTGATTCTGGACTTCAATCTTTCTTTCAACACTGAGCTCTACAATGCACTAATAAGACCTCAATCCTAGGCTTCTAGTACCATTTGAGGAGAGGGCTCTGCGAATTTGTTTATTAATAAGAAGTTCACCTAAAGAAAGTGTGATAAAAAATCAAATAAAATTTAAAATAAATATGTAAATGAAATGCATCTCCCATGGAAAGTAATTTCTCCCATCTCTCCTCTATAATGTGATATAAATAAATGCTTTTCCTATTGTCCTTCAGCTACTCTCTCTTAATACTTGTAAGCATATCACCTTATTAAAGGATAGATATTTTAAGAACTACATGAATCCAAAAAACTTAAGTTGCTAGATATTAATCCCAACTTTCTATTTAAATGCATTGCTCTTTCTAATTTTTTCTACATGTTAGACTATACTCTAACCCCAAAATCACTAATAATATCAATGGAACTTTCTAGATTAGAGGGTGCTACAATCTAAAAAATTTTAATTATTGTGCCAGTGGAAAAATTAAAATTGCAGAAAAAATCATCTTATCTAGTCAAACCTAAAAGAGAAAAGAATACCCTGTATTACTATAAGCCACATGGTCCAACTGCTAGTAATTACTGCATAATAGGAAGAACCTATGGCCACCAAAGCAAAGCCGAAGTCTTCAGGGTTCTTAAATTATTTTCACCAACTATTTCTTCATGCATGTCATGTCTACAATCTTCTTTTTATTTAAACGAATCCATGTGAGGGGCAAAAAACAGAAGATGGGCCTAACTGCCATAACTGTCAACCGTCAAGAGATTATTGAACATGGGCAAAAATGATCCTTTATTCAGTTTGGGATGGAAAAAGAAGAATCAATACATAGTCTAACTTCCTTAACTGTAAACAGATTATTGAACATGCGGAATGGCGGTGCCTAAGAATCAACTCAAATTGGCCTCTGAAAAATCCTTCATTGGAGAAATATTCTGCTAAAAACAATTTCTTCATTTGTTTTCCTGAGTAGTCCCTTCTTTCATCCTTCGAGGACTTGTTAGAATGCAAATATTTAGATGTCAGATTTCCTCCACCATTTTGTTGCATGCTTAGCCTCCAATTTAACTTCTAGTCATTCTGATGAACCCCTCTCTTGCACAGAACATAATACTTAATCATATCATACCAGATAAGATATTAAAATTGCTAAATTTTACAATACGTAGTTGATCAACCTTATTCCTTACAAAACGGAAGAGTCTAGACTAAGAACGAAGAGTGCTAGATTTGGTCGAACATCTGCATTCATCTCTGTGACATAGCCTAATAGAAAATAGAGCAAGATTGTCACTCGTAACACGTAAATCTACGAGAATGACAAGCTGGAGATATTAAGGGATTCATACTCAGGTTAACATGTTTCTAGTCCTTTCGTGAACTCCTGTATATATATGAGAGCAAGAGCAAGAGTGAGAATTATCTATATTTGAAGATCCAAACAAGAAGTAGAAACATGTTTCTGTTTTAACTGAGTTAAAATTCTGTAGATACAAAAGAATTGCAAAACTGGGGAAAATAAAATAAAATTAGGCCTCGTCATATTTAGTGGTACTCTGAATGTAAGGTCCTTTCCTGTCAAAAACTTTGGCCTCCACTGATAAAGGGTTTTGTATACTTTTTTTCCTACACTAAATACAACTAAATTTGCCCCGAAAAATCTTGAGAAAAGAATGATTGTATAAGCTTAGGTTCTGATCAGTATATTTGCGAGATGCATCTCCTGTGGCATGCAACAAGCTTACTGGCTTGCTTTGTTTCCTCTCTCCATACCTCGCTAAGATCTTTTGCTACCTTCACAGCATCAGAAGATGCACCAGCCAACCCTCTCTTAGTGAATCCAACGGCGTAAAGTCCAGTCTTACCTTTCCATGAATTTGGGAATTGTGCCATTGGTAGCCCATTTTTGGAAAAGAAATCAGTCCCCTGCAAGAGAAATAGCTCAATGTCAGTGAGCAATCCTAGCAGTCATCACTTTGACAGATCAAAAAAGCAATATTAATGAATAAATATGTAAATTTACCTGAAGCCAGTAGGGAACATTGCTCCGATATCCTGTGGCCATGACAACCGCGTCAAAGTCAAGAACGTGGCCATCAAGAAACTCAACTCTTCCAGGTAAAAACCTCTTGACACCAGGAACCACCTCAATTTCACCAGATTTTATCTTGTCTAGAGCCCCGATGTCCAAAACAGGGGTTCTCCCCTGTGTGCTCTTGAGCTGCAAAGGACCGACTGCTGGTCTTTTCAGCCCATAATTCTCGACATTACCAAGGACCAACCAAGACAGTGCAAGCATTATCTTGTCAACCAGCCACAGCGGTAGCCATTTCATTAGGAAAACTGACATTTCGAATGTCGATTTCCCATAGACCTCTCTTGGCAACACATGGACCTGTTCATCAAATTAAAGAACTTGTTCAGAAACTGAGGAACCGACACTTCATAATTCATAGAAATTTCTATGTTTTTTTAATCAGAAATTACTTACGGAGTCTCGAACAACCATGGAAGGGAAAGACTCATAGTTGCTAAGGTCGAGGCAGACCTCCATGCCAGAATTCCCACATCCAACAACCAAGACCTTCTTCCCCCGATAAGATTCACCAGACTTGTAATCACAAGCATGAATAATGTCACTGCCAAACTCCCTCAATCCTTCAAATTCGGGGATCACTCTATCTGCATTCTCTCCTGTAGCCACAACTAACCATTTGCCAATATACTCTATTTCTTCATTTTGCAGGCCAACGGTCCTTACACGCCATAGACCGCTTGTATTTTCATACCTAGCGGACTGGACAGATTGATTGAATCTTGGACATATGTCAAAATGCTTTGCATAGGATTCCAAGTAATCGATGAATTGGTTTTTGCAAGGGTACTCTGGGTAGGAATCAGGAAAAGGAAGTCCTGGAAGTTGGCAGAACTTTTTGGGGAGATGGAGCTTAAGGCGATTGTAGGTCTGCTTTTGCCATAAGGAGGCAATGCAGTCAGAGCGTTCGAAGATAACATATGGGACACCGCTCTCCTTTAGTGAGGCCGCAACAGCGAGGCCAGAAGGACCTGCACCGACAATGATTGGGCCATTCACCCACATACACCTCCCAGATGGGAAGTTATGATTGTCACCCATGATTGATCAACTGATCAGTTTGTTTGTTGGTTGCTAATAGGGATTGGAGAAAGGAGTTGATAATGAAAGAGGAAGGTAGAGAGCCAGGAGGGAATGAAGTTTTCTTTGTAAGGAAGGGAAAGATGTAGTCTGTTTAAATAGGGGGGATGTCAATGAGAGTCGCATGTAATGGTGATGACTGGAGGGAAGGTTGACAGATTCTCAAATGATAAGCCTGGCCATCTTCTCCTTTGTTTAATTTTCAGTGGTTTGAATGCATTACTATATTTTTAGGCAGATGCTTCGGACACATTTATTGGGAGGCTTGAAGAACGTGTATAGTATCTTTTATTTTCTCAAATCTCTTCTTCTTCATCAGTGTATTATCTCCTGTATTTCCTTGTTTCTTTTGCGAGGCCCTAGGGGTTCTGCAAAATTCTATACCTGAACCAATGAGTTACACAGATAAATTTACAAATTTTTCTGCATAAAGAACTTAATGTTTATCTTGTATTTCTACTACTATCTAGGGATCTTATACATCCTTCCAATATCTTATCAAGCTCTTACTCTACTCAATGAGTTAGCAAAGATTTAGTAATTAGTGAAAGTCTATGACACTACAAACGGTGGTAAAAGTTCTTTGGTGTTGAATGTTTGGATTATTAGAAGAGGTTGAGAGTCCTGTTTACCTTTTAGTTCTATGATCATGCCAGCCTAACCTATTATTATGACATAAGGCTAGTTTTCGTTTCTTCTCAACCATAATTTCATCATAGTTCAAGACTTTTTCTGTTGAAATTGGTTTACTATGTAGCTCTATATGAAAAAATGTTTGGAGGATTCAACAATCTTGGACTGATCAGGTAGCTGTTAAACTGAAATCAACTCCCAGTCAATGCTGCAGATTCATAATTGAGTCGTGGCTTGAGGAGAAAGAAATCTAGAAATAGCAAACTTACTTCATAGATTCTGCAATTTATGAAGAATGGTATTATGATAACATTCTATTGGTAATTTCTTGTCTTTTATTCACAATATAGTTTGATTAGCTGAATTCAAAATAAGTACATCTACCGCTGCTATTCTACTTATTTCCTGATCTAGAAGTTTCTTGTCTCTGTAGAACAAGAACAACACCATCCACTAGCTTGCTTACCTTAGGAAATCTCTCTTGCTCGAAGGTTTGACTTAAACCGCGTGGTGGTATGAAAACCCATGATTTGCTACTTTTCAAATTCTTTTTAAGCTTTGTGCCAAACATTCTCATTCCCAGGGTTATCTCAGTGGAGGTTCCTCTTGTGTTCATACAGGTTCTACGCGTAGTTGATAGTTTGCTAGTCCTCAAGCATGAGTCTGACCGACCCTTTTATGAAGCTTTCTCGAGTTAAATGAGTTGTGCATCATGAATAAGAAAAGCCTTGGATAATGAAGAACAACTTTTCTTTGCCTTTACATGCTGGATAGCATAAGTGACCATAGATTAATTACAACTGCATATACGACTTAGCATGGGAAGCTAGCGCTTTATCAGTCATTAAAATATCTCTTGCTTTTCTTGTTTGGTTGTGTTGCATTCATCTATAGTTTCTGTTGTTAACTTGCTCAGTAAGTTGTGTTTTCAATTTTAAAAATTTTAAACTCTTTCATTTAAATTTAGTTCCTCATCAAGAAATGTGCCATGTCGTTTCCAAATAAATGCCCCTAAGTTACCATCATTTTTTCTTCTCTCTTTTTGCTTCTTGTTTTTTGCTTATTTGTTTTTTGGGGAATGAAAAGCATAAAAGGGAGTAGCAAAATAGATGATGCTTTATATGACAGTCTACTGTATTGAGATTTTTTTATGTACATGCATATGGTTAAATATATAATTGTACAGATATAAACCAAATATATAATAATTCATCAGAAGTTCAGCTTCTACTATCATATGCCTGTAACCGTGATTGTGATCATTACCATAAAATTATATTGCTTTTTATATTGATATAAGAATCTCAACCGGAGAACATAATCTTCATCATATTTCAGTTAGGAGGCCCTGTGGGGGGCAAAGAATCGGAGCAATTTACAGATGAAATCAATATGTGTTCTTGGTGGGTATGGCAAGGTCCTGGGGAGACATACTTCACATCATCAAACACGCTAACCTAGGTATGGAAGTTATTTGAGTGAAATTGCAATATGATGTTTCATTTAGAAACTTTACATCCAAGCTTTGACATAAGCTATACCAGTATTTTTGAGTTTAGAGTTTGTATTCTTCTCTTGTTATTTCTTAAGATCTCTATTTTAAGACACCGATTCTTTGTATTCTCTCAACTATGTAATTGCCTTGAATATTCTCCTTTCATTTATCTATTACACTATAAGATCAAAAGATACTAGTTAATATGATACGGGTCACCAGCAATCTATTGAGAAGATTAAATGGTGTGAAGCTAATAACATAAAAGTTTTGATCTTCTATCATTGGAACTTCTACGTAGGTTCTTATTGCTTCTTCATATGTTGCAAGCTTTTCAAAGGTAACTACCTCAGAAGAAACTGTTCACGGAGAAAGGTACAGTGCTTGTATTCCTTTAATAAGGATGATATATGGAAGTGATGCTGAATTCTGGTCTCTAGTTTATAGAGTTGAGAGCTCTTTGTTTCTTCAAGGCATGTGCATGAAGCTTGGATTTCCTAGTCTCTCCCCTTTTCATGAGGGAGGCAGAAAAAAGAGAGTTAAGCTTGTGCACTGAGTACTAAACTTTTATTAATCTATGGTCCTTAAGATGAGTATGGCCATCTCACCGCCTGTTGTTCTCCTTTCTAGAGACTCTTTAACTAAAAGCCATACGTAAAAGGTGATATGAGAATATTTGTATTGTTATTCTATCTATGTGATGCAGGGATGTGTGCATCATTCTTCCCTTCTCTTAGAATCGCCTAAACCAATTCCTAATATAAGGTAAGGGCATCACAGCCACAACACAAAACTTTTTATTGCGCGTTAGAATGATAGTTTTCTACATATTTCCCATGGTCAGTTATCACCACTGTAGGTTTCTGGTTGTGAAAGCAAACTTGTTGGCAAGCCTTTCTAGTTTAGTGCAGGTTATCCAGTAAACTAGCATAGAAAACAAGTGAAGATACAGCGAGGACACTAGGGTTTTCTCACATGTTAAAAGATTGTAAAAAAAAAATGAAAGATAATGAGATAGTGAGGAGCTAGCTTTTGGGTTGCTTCCTAGGTACAATTCAATATGGAATGTCTTTGGTTGGGACTAGAATGCTTCTATCAAATCAATGTTAGCTTGGAGTTTTCCTTAAAGAGGATCTTGCTTTAATAAATCCTACATTTCTATTGAGAATAAATAATGGTTTGTTTAATATGTCTATGAATCCTTTGACCTACAAGTTGCGGTTCCTGATTCTGCTTGATCTTTTGAATGGGGCCTATTGGATTTCTAAAAGAAGGTTGGTTGGTTAGGTTTCTTAATTACTTATTTGTATGCATACATATCTGAGAGGTGTTAGTTTGGTTTATTGAGGCGTATGTGTATGTACAAGTAAAGTATATACATGTGAGCAATTGTTGGTTACGCATGTCAGGTGATGGAACCACGTGAACAGAATTATTTCATTACTTATATATAGTGATGGGCGTGGGCCGAGCCGGTTCAGGCCCGTGACCTAGCTCGTCGAGTTCAAGACCGAGCAGGGCCTGACCCGAGCCCTGCCGGGTCAGAGTGGGTCGGAGCTACTTCTCTGATCCCGAGTCTGGAACTGGACCCAACTTAGCCTACGACCTGCCTAGGTGCGGGCTGGGTCTGACCTAGCCCACAGCCCGTGGGTTGTAGGCCGACCCATGGGTTTTTCCTCCAAATTTTTTCTTTTTTTATACCTTTTTAATCATATTAAATTTGTATTTACAATTATAATATTATTTCAAATTTATTTTTTAGTAATTTAAACTTGTGTTAAAATATTTTTAAACTTGTATTAAACTTTTTAATCCTTCCAAGTAGACAACAACGAGCTTAAAGATTGCTGTTTTGTTTCTCAATGGGCCAAAAGACCTACAAACCAAAGACCTTTGGCCTTTTGGATTTGTTGGCAGCTAGCTGCAGACCAAATGATTAAACGAACAACTAGCCTAACCAAAAAATATATCATGGGCCGGGGTGGGTCGGGGCGGGGCGGGTTGGATGGGTTTACAACTCTCACAATCTAAACCCTCAAATAGGCTCCTTGCTTTTCTTCACAAGAAAAGGTCAGCCTCCAAATACTTTTTCTCTCTTCACAAAACCCGAGACAGTCCCCTCTCTCTCTCTCTCAGCACTGTAGCCGCCTTAATTTCTTTGCTGCAGTTTTCACCAAGCCCTTGCACCTCCTTTTTGCTCTGTACTTGATCCAAAAGAGAAAATCCAGCCGCCTTTTGTATGAACCCCACCTGCAACCCCTCACATGCACGCCAAAAACCCTAGGTTAAAGCCTATTCCTATTTTATAGCCTGGAGGTTAATCGGGTGGGCCTGGCTTTCGAGGTGGAACCGCTGGACAATTTCAATTCTCCAAAGCTTGTGGCCCCCACAAGCATCTCTTCACGTGCTCCAACAATTCTCCACCTCGGTGAAGTTTTCCCAAAACTGAGCCGACACCAACCAAACCAAATGCCTCACTTGTTGTGTCTACTACGAAGTGAAACAATTCATGACAACGGACTCAATCCATAACAAGTCGAGAGCTCAAATGAGAATACAAACACTCCAAATGTCGGTATCAACTCACCAAATCGGTCTCACCCTCATCAAATAATCCAAAACCCGGCTGCATCATAAAGACTGCCTACGTATCCTCTTGTCCAAGGAATCAAGCCGAACGTAGTTCACCCAAATGACCTCCAAAGGCCTCAATCTAATAGAAGAGTTCGCAACCCTTCTCCAACATCACGATCAAGTCTGCGACTGATAGCACCTCCAATGGCCTCAAACACCTCCACTTGAGGTGAACCAATGACCATATCCAAACTATATCTATCAGCTGCACTCGAAACAAAACCCAACTCATCATCCGCATCCGAATCCAAATGACTCCCGCGCTGTGTCACCTCATTTGGAATCCCAACCAATGCAGAATGACCTGGAGTATGTGGAAAAATCCCCACCTAATGTGGAGTAGCATCACTCTCCACCCGCTGCGATACATCTAAGGTCTGTCCAAAACTCTCCACCTGCTGAGAGTCAATTGGCTTCCTCATCGAAGCCTTAACCAAAGTGACACTACCAGACCTATCTTCCAATAGAGTTTTACCTCCAATCACAGCAGTTGACAACTCTTTAATAGGATGACCTAAATATGTCGAAGCCTCAGTCCAGAAACTCTTCTGCAAACCATTGCTCGACCACAAACACCGATCCTCCTCCAGTAAGGCACGGTTCTCCGAATTTGCCACCCTATCTAATTGCCCCAAGATTTCCTTTCCAATGAAGTGTCTCGAAATGCCGTGAGCTCGGCTGCAATACAGAAATAGGTCCATCTTGTACCTCCCACCAGAATGGAGTACCTTCACCTTTCTGTCTATTACACACTTCTTCAATCTGTTGGGTACTACTAGGACTTTCTCCAAAGGGGATTTGATTGCAACCCAAACACGTCTAGAACATCCACCAACAAAGAAAACCAAACTTCTATTACCTCCCAATGATGCTCCCTTGGAAGGCCCCCAAACATCCACGTGAACTCCTCCAGAACGACCCTTAACTCGGTGAATAGAGGTGCCACACTTCACCTCAGTCTTCTTGCTCACATCAACATGTTCACTGGACTTCAAACTGCAGGTCTTCACACCCTCTTTCAATTTATGCGAGGAATCAATACTGGAATGGCCAAGCCCCAAATGCCGCAGTCTAGACGAATCAATAGAAGTCGTCAGTTCTCTACCTGCCACTATACCTCCAGTCAAGTAATACAGGTTATTTCTCCTGACGCCCTTCATCAAAATACGAGAGTCTCTCGCAATCTCGAAAAGCTCCAATTGAGATCAAGTTCTTCCTCAAAGAAGGAACATATCTCACATCATTTAACTCCCTAACAATCCCGTCAAACATCTTTATGTGAATTCTTCCTATCCCAAGGATCTGGCATGCATGGTTATCAGCCATGTACACCACACCACTATCCATCAGCTTCTCAAAACTGGAGAACCATTCCCTTCTAGGGCATACATGATAGGTCGCACCACTATCCAACATCCATTCAGATTCCTCCGAATAGCTATCTGTAGGACTGATAGAAAGCGAATAAATAGAAGAGTCAGAATTATTACCATCCGATACGATGTTTGCTTCTGATGATGGTTGCTTCCCTTTTCCCTTCTGCTTATTCTTCATCCATTCGTCGAGCTTTGGGCAGTCTTTCTTCTAATGATCAGTCTCCTTGCACCAAGCACACTGATCTTTTCCAATTGTAGGATGTCTTACTCTAGACTGTGACTTCCAATTCTTCCGGTTCGGATTCTTCCCTCTTGCGACCAACGCCTCTGCTACCGGCTCAACTGAAGCCTCCTTATCCTTCTTTCGAAGCTGATAATTCACAAGTACAGTAGTGACCTCACTATACGAAAGTGACGCCTTCCCATTAATCAGAGTAAGAACGAATGTCTCATATTCCTCGTCGGGCAAGGAACTCAACAACAGCAACGCCTTGTCCTCATCTTCAATCACGACATCCACATTCGCCAAATCCGCAAGAAGCTTAGTGTAGTGGTTCATGTGATCTCTAATGGAGGTTCCCTTCTTCAACTGGAAACGATAAAGTCTCCTCTTCAAATGCAAGCGATTTTCCACACTCTTTGTCAGATACTTGCTTTCAAGAATCTCCCAAATCTTCTTTGCAGAAGTCTCATTCATCACATCATATTTTAGATCTTGAGTCAAACAAGATCTAATCACACCACACGCCGTTCGATTCATCTTCTTCCAAACCTTTTCTTCAATCTCATCTGGCTTGCCATCTAACTCCAATGTATCCTCCAAATTCTGCGCGTTCAGCGTATCCAAAACCTCGCATTTCCATAATCCAAAGTTGTTTGTGCCATTAAATTTTTCCACATCTATCTTCATAGAGTGGATATTCAAACTCTGAATGGTCTTCGCGCTAGAAGCACCA